AGCATTTGGCGTAATAGCACACAATACCCAGAGATTTGATACTATGCCACATCGATCACTGGGCTATAAAAACTGATTTAAGGATAGCCATGTTTGAGCTCAGTAATTGTAAGCCAGAACAAATTTTTTACTGGTCATGGTCTGGTTGACAATTAGATGTGTTTAATGTCTTGCACAGGATGGAAGACGAGATGGTCGATGCGAGTCACCGCATCAGTCTGATTTACAGCCCATATTCGAGCATGAAACCATGGAATTTCAGCCTAAACACCAGGTAGAAATCACCTCTTCTCTTCAACAATGTCATCTCTCACCTATAGAGGTGAACCGTGGAGCAAACTGTTGATCTACAAAAGAGTAGGATATATGCCACGATCAGTTATAATCAACGACATGTTTTATCAAATCTGTAATTGGGCTTTGCATCCCAGGTTTAGATTTTAATTTAAACGTTCTAGCATTATTTTGAAGAAAATCTAAATCATCTGCTGAATGGCTATCATTTCCCATGTTGCGAGTTTTTTTTTTTTTTTTTTAGTTTTTTTTTGAGAATGTGGAACGCCCTCTATAACTAGTGCACTAGCTATAGTGTGTGGCTTTGTGTTTTCAAGACCCCATAGATTTGGGCACACAATAGACATACCACGTGGTAAAAATATAATCACATGCTATATTGTGTGAGGTGTTGGTGTGGATTTTATGCTATATAAAATAACATTTTCCTTTTGTCTTTTGACAAATGTTAAAAAAATTCTTTGTTTATACTGTAACTTCTTATTACAAATTTGGATGTCCAATGATCATATGATTTTTCAAAAAAACTGATGCAATTTATTTTTATTGTTAAGATGGCACCACATGCGTATCCCCAAGAAGAGGATGATGATGCTTACGGTGTAGCTATCAGTACAGATTTTGCCGTAACTAGGGACTTTGAGCTATTAAGAGAGACTATGCGGCCGTCTGGTGTTGGTAGCTATGGTGATGACGATGATGACGATGAAGAATTTGATTCTCCAGCGAGAACGGGTAAAACTTTGAGATCTTCGTATGTAGAAGATGCTACATTACATGAAGCTTCCATGTAAGTGATTAGTCTTGATTTAACCTTTTCACCACTTTTGATAACTTTGTCACAAAATGGTGCTCAAAATTGTGATTTTGAATGCTAGAACATGACCCAACAAAGTGTAAATTGCATGTTATTATTTATTTCTTCCCAGAGCTGAATTGATAGAAAAACAATTAAATGCAAAAAGCGATAAGAAACGCCTCAGGAAAATACTTCGCGACTTTGAAGATAGTTTTTTCAAAAGAACAGGTCGGAAGGTGCAGAGGGAAGATCGTGATCCCATGGAGACTGAATATATTGAATATAAGGTATATTTATGTCTAGAACGTTGCTATATAGCTTGTATGGGTTTTATTGGGTTGAGTTGTCATTACTGGGGGGGGGGGGTAGTGTGTGAGTAAGCAGGTATCAATATATATTTGTCATAGAAAGTAGGATTTTACACTACTGTAAAGGGGTTAATTATTCACTGGGTTTTAATTTTGCTTATTTCGCTGACTGGAAAATGCGCTAAATTAAAACGCAGTGAATAAGTATAATTTAGCATAGAACACATTATCTAAATGATAAAACCGTGAATTAAAAACCCACTGAATATGCCTGAAATGGTAAATCAGCGAAATTTAAACCCAGTGAAAATTAGTCATTTTACAGTATTTGCTATATTCTGAAAAATTACTGCAAAACCACACAAAGTTGTGGCTGCAACAACATTGCTTTCACGTATTTACGAAATTTCAACATCTCGTCAGCTCCAATACAAATAAACTTTTACTGTAAACAGCTTTATTTAACACATCTAGATAATTTCTACATTGCTGGGTACAGCAAAGATATAATGAAAAACAGGATTGGTTAGCCTGTTGAAGTTATATTTTGTCCAGATTTTCAAACAGGTTATCTTTGAAAAATAATTAAAAATATGCACAGAAATTTAGTGCGAAAAGTTAATGAGTAATTAATGTTATCTTATAAAACTTTATGATTCTCTGCCCTTTAAAATAAAAAGCCAGAAAAAAAATGTTGAAGTGAAAAGGAATTTTGTTTTTGTTACAGTCTGTATTTACATGTGTATGTTGTTCATATTTAATTTGTGTTTCTTTTTCCATATTTGAATTTTTAGTTTTAATTTTGTTCTTGTTACCATAGATTTTAAATTAGCTGAAAATTAAGTCTAGCGAATTGAAAAAACATGTTCTGTTGAACATGTGCAAAATGTTCATGTGTATGTTTAAAATCTATTCAGGTTTTTTTTATTTCAAATTTGGCCATTGCAAACTAAATTATCACAGAACAAAGATGAACCATTTCTAGTGTTCTGGGACCTCAACATTGTATGCAGAATTTATAGTTTTCAAGCTATTTTAACATTCTGTCATTCAATCCCCCTTCCCAGCATGTTTTTTTTTTTATTTTAACAAGGATTCATATTGAGGGTATGCAACTTACATAACCATGTACATGTACCGTTATATGCAATGAAGATTTCATGAGAAGGGACTCTTTGCAAGCGTTAGTCGGACATATTTCTAACCAAGAGTCTCACAAAATGCAGCAGACGCTTGGAAAGGGTCAACTGCATAAACGAGCGAATGAGCGAGATTATTGTTGTATTCAAACACGCAAAATGAATATACGGTAATACACACCTTATGATTATGCAAGGACACCATTGAAATCAGTCTAAAATGAACACTGTTTCACAGACTTATTCAATAGACCATTCTCTGTTCACTGCAAGATCTTGGCATTGTGCGTGAAATCAAACGTAAAAACAGGACAAACAAAGGGTATCGCTTCATAGTGGTATCAAAACATCACATGGAATTTGACAAACGTGAAAATGTTTTTTGAAGTATTTCCATGCTTAATAATGTGCTTTACACATTTGATGATGGTCAATTTTGATGAAGTACCGGTAATATTCCCCTATCGACTTTGAGATATGAAAAACAAATTTGAGTTCAAAATTAAATCGTTTGATTTTTGTGGCAGATGTTTGGTTCGGTTCACGTCTTTTACGCAATACGTGGGATCTCTCAATTCGCACGACATCTCCAATTCTTCACCCCGAATCACATCATTTGCATACTCTCATAATAAATCCTTGATTTTGCAAGAAGTTTATTTATTTTTATTTTTGTTATTTTATTTTATTTTATTTCCAGCGATTGAAGCGTTTCATCAAGCTCCTTGATGCCTTGCTTGCCAAAAAAATCCAAAGATAGCATTTTGTGTTGTATAATGGTTTTATAACCATTCCTGCATGTTCCGTCCTCAATTTCTGGTGAGAACTCTACCTCTTTTCTTCTTCCTTTTCCTTTGTTCTCTTCTTCTAACCAAAATAATTCTGACTATAAAAACACTGTGTTTTCTTTTGATACACAACCTTATTCAAGAGACCAAATTATTATTGAATCAGTTTGTGCTGTGATTCATACATACTATTTGAATATGATTTGACATGACAATTCTAAAACTGTGGTCTTAATTTCTGTAGTTGTTGAATCAAGCATACACACTCATTCATTCATGTGAAGGAAATTATTATTATTTGACATTTGCGATATCCATTGACAAAAAATTGATATAAAAAATTGCATGATTGATACTTGACTGATATAGTGCATTCATTAGGATATGTTGTATCATATTGCCAAACTACAGTGATGAAATAGTTAGATTGCTGTATTTGTTGTGTGTACATTGCTTCTATGTTGTCACCTGTAATGTTTGCTGTACATAACACTGCTCACAATTTAATTGCCAAATGCAGTAACAAAATACTAACATACTAACTCACTCAAGTACTGGAATTCAGTAGCATTCATAGGTACTGTAAACCACAAGAGACGAATTTTCTCGAGTCGGTGATAATTACGAAATTTTGTAGAAAGGAAAAGTTTACTGGGATCCTAAAGATGCATAGTCACAGCAACTTTCGCAAAGTCATCAAAATTCTTCATAGCGAGAATGGAATGGTTTATAGTTAACTTTAAAATGTACATATTGAAATATAACTGGTGTGCTATGTTTCATAATCACTAATATTATTAAAATCCTAACTGTGTTTTTCCATCTCATGTTTTAATTTTTCAAACTAATGTTGTGTGAACGATGTGGTGTGCGGAGTGATACTGTCCAGGTCTGATTCGATGTGATATTGGGACCAGGACCTAATGTTTTTAATCATTGGCTTAGTGCACTTTCAATGTTATTGACTCTTGGTCTCCATCCAAGAACTGGTCAGTGTATGGTAGTGTTGTGATATTTAATGTGAAATATTACTTCTGATATGAAACGATAAATGACACGATATTCACGTTAAATCAAAACACAGAGAATAAAAAAAAAATCATTGTACTGTACCATTCCCATCAGTGTTACAAGAATGTTCAACTCAAAAACAAATCAAATTAAATCAAATCAAAAAAAAAAAAAAGTATTCTAAGTCATCATTTTAACCATGTTTAAAAAAAATACATAAATTTTGTTAATCATTCATACTTTGTGTACAAGTGCATATAAAATCTTGTACATGCATTTGACTAATTACATTTCTTTTTATTTTATTTACAGCAAATCAAAGCTCGTCTCCGACTACTGGAAGCTCTAATCACCAAACATGATGGTAGCAAAACCATCTAAAACCACAATAAAAAGAAAGTGTTATTTATTTATTGCCATTTATTAAACAAAAAAAACTAAATTTATATTTCCAGGATGTATTTTTGTTTAGTTAATACTATGTATTTATTACAAGCTTTAATACAGTGTGAATAGAGTGTACATATATTCTCATAGATTACCTTCTAAATTGCCAATTTTTTATGAAGAAATAAATGAACACAGAGTAGGTTTGTTACTGGCCTAGAATCTATGCAATGTGGGAGACCTCTTCTATACGCCTAGCATTGATGCCCTATGCACAAAATCACAGACAGCTATTAACAATACCGGTAGTTTCGATTACTGTAAAATATTCTATTTCAGCTGGAATTAATTTTTACTGAAAAGACTTTTTCGGGTGTTTTGTATGGAATCTATTTTCAGTGATTTTTGATGATTTGAATGTAAAATATAGTAAAAAAGGTATATTCATTGGAATTCTATAAAATTCCAAGTAAAAATTATTTTACAGTAGTTGAATGAGAATGGCAAGCATTGTCAATCATATGGAGTTCACCTGTTTATTAAGAATTTCCATGTGTAGCAATTATCAAGCTAATTTGAAGATTATATATCATCTTGTTCATGCTCTCATTGTTATATCTTAATGCATTAATATACCAAAAAACTTGAAAAAAAGGGATCTCCACTGGGCAATCTAAAATTCTAAGAATTTACATTTTTGCGCTCGTGTGTATGGTTAAATTGTTTCATCATATTGAAATTTTCATTGACATTCAATATAGTGAGTTTCCAGTATGATAATAGTTTTTTTGTGTACTAACAATAGGAAGTTATCTCCCATAATGCTTTTCATAATGTGCAGTAACATGTTAGGCGTATTTTAAGGTCTCGGATTTTGGGAAAATAAATATATTCTAGGCTAGTTTGTTCTGGAAAGCTGTAATAATTTATTCTTGTTTATGTGTAGATGTGTTAATAATTACTAACGAGGGACAGTCATGGAAACTGTTCATAGCACTGGGTTCTATAATAAAATTAATTTGATCTTTCAGTCATCGAAATAGATGATACTGTCTGTTCCAACATCACTGCGCAAAAATCATCTTCATGTCTTTGAGTTGGAAATTAATGTTTAATTTTTATAGCGAACATTTACACATGCAATGACAGTAGCAATGGTGAAAAGGCCTGTCTAAATAAATAAAACCGTATTTCAAAATGGCTGCTGCTTTTAGCTGCTGTTGTCCGTCCGTCCGTCTGTTCGTGCAGCAAACTTCTGAATATGATATCTCAAAAATCAATGATCAGAATCAGATTAAACTGATCAGTTATATACCATGAGACAATTGCAAGATGTGATTAGGTTTGGGTACAAATTTGTTACTAATTACTGTAGAATACTTTATTTTCGTTGGAATTAATTTTCGCTGAAAAGGCTTTTTGAGCGTTTTGTATGGAATTTATTTTCACTGATTTTTGATGAGTTTAATGTGAAATATAGGAAAAAAAGTATATTCGCTGGATTTTATTTTCGCGGAATCATCCTTTCAGCGAAAATAAATTCCAAGTGAAAATAAAGTATTCTACAGTAATTAGGGAGATTTACAAATGAATGTAAATTTTTGTTTCATTGATATTATAAGAACTGGTACTAAGCTTCACACAAATCTTAACAGTAATATATATTATGAAACAACGACAAGACTTGTGTTGTTGATAATATGTACAAAATTAATTTGTATCTGAATTGCGTTCTTGTTGTCACTGTTCAATACATTTTGTTTGTATCAGAAATAATATTATTTGCATTATAATAGACCTGTGGATTCTAAATTATTTACTGATGAATAATGAAGTCTTTCGCACGCACAAATGTTCTGATACCTACAAAAACAACTAAAGGAGAACACTAATATATATATATATGTACGTCTGCATAGATGTACTTCATACTTTTCCCAAACAATATGTATAATAAAGCAAATGCACTATTTATTATTTTCCATATTTTTTAAATGAAGGCTTTTTTATTTTTTTTAAAGCGTGAACAAATTTTACTCATATTTTTCAATTTAAAAATCAATATTTCTGTTTATATCTGTCATTCAGTAGAGAATTGATCTGATGAATTCTATCCATGCATAATCTGCTTAGCTTAATTATATTCATCAATTTCTTCTTCTTTTAGTGGCAACGGGAGCGCTTCTAGAATTTCTAGTCGCTACATGCATACTGTAAAGGGGTTAATTATTCACTGGGTTTTAATGTTGCTCATTTCGCTGACTGGAAAATACGCTAAATTAAAACCCAGTGAATATGTCAAATTTAGCATAGAACACATT